CTCTCTCTCTCTCTCTCTCTCTCTCTCTCTCTCACTAGTCACACACACTCTCTTTCTCTCTCCATCTTTCTCTCTCTCTCTGTATGTGTGATGGTGTGTTTGTGCGCGCGCGCACGCACACACACACACACACACACACACACACACACACACACACATTCCTTTCCTCTCTGTATCTGTCTTTTTTCATTCAGAAATACACCCTTCCTCCCTCCCGACAAGACAGAGATCTAGAAAATTTAGATTAGATCTAGATCAAGTCACGAGTTCACTAGTCTCAATCCCAATCCATCTTTGCTCGACCAAGCACGCTGGTGAAATGAATGAATGGGCGGGAAACGAAACGCCGAACGAAAGACCTTGACTTTTGGGAACACCGAACGGCCTTGACTTTGAAAATACGTGCCCCTAACAATCCAGTGTTAGGCGGGCGTACGCGCGCCTAACTACTTCCTAATCTGAATTGTGTTGATGGGGGTGTTAAATAATATGTTTCATTTGCACATTTTGCTTAATATGCCTTGCACTCAACCTGCTTTATTGTACACAGTGTATATGGTTCCAGGAAGATAAACAGAAGAGAAAAAAAGCTCTCAAGGGTGAAGCTTTTATTATTTCAAAATTGGAAGTTTGAAAATGTCTAGAACATATCCTTCCACTAACTGCCCATTATCGCATTGATGTGCTTTTCTTTACTGAAACGTGCTGTTTAGCAATGTAACTGTTGAAGACTTCAGCTGCTAGGTGCATTGCTATTGATTTTTTGGTTTCCCTTTGATGTTTTATAATGAGGATTCCTATTTTGGTTCTATTTAAAACATTTTTAGATGTGCTGGTTCTTTTCACTCATAGGTCAAAGAAAAATGCTATGTTTACAAATAACCTCATTTAACTTCTTCACAGAAAATGATGGTCATGGATACCCGGAGTTTGTCAGGCATGAAAACTGCAGCTATTTCTTCGAATGGGGCACCAAATATGCCTGTTTCGATCAGGTACAGGACGGGACATGCCGTGTGAATGTCGGAGGAAAACGGTTTGACCTCTCTGCTTTGGTCAGGGAGACTGGTAGGTGCTCGGTTCACTCGTGTTGTTTTTACTGGTCTGAAGAGCTACTGTCTTACAAACCAGGTTCACTGATGTTTGCTTCATTGGTCTCTTCAGAGTCTAATATGCAGAGTACAAACACTACATAAAAGTGGCCATCTGATAAAGGGGTTTGTGTGTGTTTTTTCAGTAATTCCTTTACTGAGAGTGTGTTTACAGTGACATTGATTACAGTAATATCTCTTCCACATCATGAAAATAGGCTCTTCCACATTACCAGTACATAAAAGCTCTTCAACATCTTGAAAATAAACTCATCAAAATAGGCTCTTTAAAGTTGTCCTTATTGTCAAATATTCCATGGAAGGAAGCTTGACATCTTTTTAGGTTCCTTAGGGACTTTGGCCATTAGTAGATTTTAAAAAATGAAAATTGCCTTATGTTCTTTGCTGATTCCTTATATCTCTGTAATCGCTTACTAAAACAAAAACAAAAATCCGAGAATGGTGTTTCATATAAGATCAAAAGTATTATAAACAACCCATCACACCTTTCCCCGCAAATTGTAAGATCACGCAGCGGCAGATATGTACCTCAAAAAACAAAGAAATAAAGATATAAAAGAAGTTTTTTACCATCTAGCATAAGGCTATTGTCAGAATAATCATCAGTGTGTATAACTCTTACGAGTATGTATCTGTATGATGCATCTGATGTGATATGTACATTTTGTGAGCTTTACTTTTCTATTCATTTTGAATTTTTATGAGAGTAATATTTAATTAAAATTTCTATGTATACCTGCATGTGTTTTTACGGTCCCGTACAGCCAAGGAAAAATTCCCTCTGGGATAATAAAGTATTATCTTATCTTGTCTTATCTTATCTTATAACTTGCAGGTGAGAACTGGGATGTGCTATCAGGGGAAGATGAGAGTGATGACCTTGTGGTCAACATCTGCCATGATGTCTTGCTCTCTGGGAAAGCCAACTCCTGCCCGCCGGGGTCAGCTGTTTGTGCTGTAGGTGAGTTGTTGTATTGTGTTTCCCTGTGGCTGGCAGCTTGTGAGACGGACTCTATCTGGATCTTGCGGTTTGTTTTTTTGTCTTTTTTCAAAACATAGGTGGGTTGGGTTTTTTTGTCTCCATGGACACAATTCAGATAATTTAGGAGGCTGGCTTCTGACCCTGCCTGTCAGGGTCAGATCTTACTGAGAGGGATACAACATCCCAGCAGGAAGACTGAGGTACTCGCTCAAAATTTCTCCCCTTAATGAAATAAAACCGGGGTCTCCTTCGTGTAACAGCAAAGCTCCTTATTGTTGCACCACAGACGCTGGTATCTTTTGTTTGATGGAGTGGCAAGAGGGAGGAGATGACAAATTGTTTTAGAGCTTTATGAGCTTTTTAGTCTACTTTTAATTCTTTTGGCGTCTGTACTGTAATGGTAAAGTTCATCACCTTTGCATGCTTAAAACATGAGTTTGACTCGGAGATTTGTATTTGAGAGTGAAATGGGGGGGG